GCTCACTGCTTGACATTCTTTGTACTGTACTTTATATATATCTTGTTGCTTGCTTGCTAGGTTTTGATCACTGTGTTGCTTGTCTTGTACTATATCTAGCACTGCATGTGAACTGGCCTTGTGGCCTTTTACTTGTGCTCGGAGTGTGGTGACGTTGTGATCCACCCTGGGCTTTGCTTTGCTTTGCTGGACTGGTCTTGTGACCCTTTGTTCTCCCCCACTTTGCCTATGGGGGTGTGTTAAACTGTATTATGCTTGTAGGCTGTAGTGGGGTAGCCAATATGGGGTACAACCCCAACTAGGGTTTCATATTTGTACCCAAACTTCTGCTAGTTCAATCATTCTTGCCTAGCTATTCTGAAACGACGGGCAGCGCGGGGCAGAGCGGGCGGCGCGACGGGCAAAGCAGGGGAGGGGGAGGCGCGCGGGGCTCTGGGCTGGCAGGACGCCGGTCGGCAGGGCGCACGAGGGCGCTACAAGGGCGCTACGAGGGCGCTAGGGCGCAACGAGGGCGCTACGAGGGTAGGGCGCGGGGGTAACGCGGTAACCGCAGCGTGCGGTGGTGGGCCCTAAAAAAAAAACGATCGGATGGTCTTAGGGACCACCTGCTCTGAATACCATCTCAGAATACTAGCGTAAGAATGATGCATTGAAAGAAACAGTTGGGTACAAGTAGCTAACCCTAGTTGGGTTTGTACCCTGTATTGGCTACCCCACTACAGCCTAACACATTACAACTTAACACCGTCGACCTCCCATCGCCCTCCCGTCGCCCTACCGTCGCCCTCCCGTCGCCCTCCCGTCGCCCTACTGTCGCCCTCCCGTCGCCCTCCTGTCGCCCTCTCGTCGCCCTCCCGTCGCGCTTCCGGTCCTTCCCGTCACCCTCCCGTCGCGCTTTCCGCGCCTTCCCGTCGCCCTCCCGTCGCGCTTTCGGCGCCTTTACCTCGCCCTCTCGTCTCCATTTCGGCGCCTTCCCATCGCCTTCTCGTCGCCCTTCCGTCGCCCTTCTGTCGCCCTCCCCTCGCCATCCTGTCGCGCTTCCGGTGCCTTCCTGACGCCCCGCCATCTCCCATCCCTTTCCATCAACCTCCCCTCGCCCTCGCCAGGGTTCCGATCGCATCCCGTTCGCCCTCACAAATTTCCCCTTCTTTCCCTTTCGCATCGAGTTCCCTGCCCATAAGGAAATTGCCTGACATAATCTCACTTTCCTATTTGTCGCGATCACTGCCTTTCTTCCATTCCCGTCGCATCACTATCTCCTCTCCCCTACTGATCTCCCTTCCTCATGATCCAACCTCTCATTCCTGGTTTCCTCCCCCACTCCCTCGCCTACGCCCTCGCTATCTCCACTTCCCGTCGCCCTTTCGTCGCCTTCGCAGTCTCCGCTTCCTTGCCCTCTCGTCGCCTTTGATGTTTCCGCTTCCCGTCCGCCAGCGTTATCACCCCCCTTTCTTCACAGAGCCCTCGCTGTCCCCGCTACCCTCATCCCTTCCTTTCCCGTCTCCCTCCCTACCCTCACGCCATCAACTCCGTTGACAGGGCACTATTCCTAACTTTGATCGCCCCTATTTCACTCCGTTCGTAACCATGTTCATCATCCTCTTGGGCGTCACGCTTTCTTGTTTTTCTCTCTATCCCTCCTTGTTGCCCCTCCGTCAGGCCCCAAGTCCAAGGCAGCACAATTTCATCAGCTTCTCACCATGTCTACGCTCTTCCACTTTCATGTCGTAGATGTTTCTGCTTGGAACTTTCCCTGTAGTGTTGATAGATGTGGTTTTGGTGAAGTTGCAGCGCCTGTGAGATCAACATTGCACGTTGCTCATCCTTGCGCCAAAATCGCACATGTACATTTGGGCGAAACTAGCTGCCAATCAGATATGAGGAAGAACTGCTCTTGTTCCTGGTTCAGTTCGCAACTCGTTCGGAGGTGGGAAAAAAAATTCTCACCACACTTCCAACTTCCCAAAATATTACAAAGACTAGAGACTTCAAGTTGGGCCCAACTAGAAGGGGGGGGGGGTCATTATTTTAGCTGCTGGCTTTAAGCATATGTGTACAATTCATAATATATGCATTTCATAAAAGTCACGTAATCACCACTAACCATCCAACATACAAAAATATGACGCAGTGCGATAAGAATGATCACATCGTAATTGAATTAGACAAAACTTATGTACACGTTATGTAGCTAGCAACTAGTGCACCTAGTTTTTTCATTTCACGTTTTATTATAAATAAATTTAAAATGTGAAAAAAAAATCTGTCCAAATCGATCGTAAAGGGTTGCTTCGCAACCCAAAAAAAACGTTTTTGGGCGGGTAACTGCGCGGGTGGATGGTAGGACTTCAATCAGTCCATCCGGGCCCTAGTGGGTCGGTTTCCACCAGGCCCCCCTCCTGGTGGAACCGAGTTTCCACTAGGGCCGCACGCGGATGCAAGCCCTGTCGCGGCCCCCAGCTGGGAAACGCACGCGAGCGGGGGTCCCCCGCCCGCCTGCAAGTCCCTAGCGAGATTCGGGCGGCGGAGTCAGCTGGCGGGGTGGTCCCGCGCCGAGCCCGTGCCACGCCAGCGCCACGCAGCGTGGTCCCCCCCCCGGCCCAGCCCTGGCTCGCGAAACCCCTCGCGAATCCACTCGCTCTCCAATCCGGTGTCGAGGGCCCAACCCCCAGCGCGCCGAAACAAAGCCAGCCAATCAGAGCCGTTCCCGAGTGGTTTGTCACTCGGAGAACCCTCGCGAGGCAGTCCGCATGCGAATCCGCGCGTGCGAAAGGAGATTCGGGCTGGCCGAAACGGATTCGGCCAATGAGAGCAGGTTTCCGAGCGACGGGCGAATCGTCACGCCTGCGAAGCGGTACCCGTGGTGCCCGAAAAAGTGCAGGCCAATCGCCGTCGTTTACGAGAGTCGGACGGCTCGCACGAGCCTCACGAAGAACCTTTTTGCCTCGAGTCGAAATTTTCGGTACGGAGTGTACTCCACTGGGATGACCAATCGAAATAATTTTATATGCATCGGGGAATTACTCAGTCGCGCATGTACATGTAATATAACGGAGTGTAGTGCTAATTCGGGTGACCCGATGGTAACATCGGGACTCGGCGGACGCAACGAGGAAAATTCACTCCGCGAGAGTCGGTAACCCGCCCCGAACGGGTCTCGCAGATGGAGTGCATCGTGGCGGAAGTGGGCTGCGCAAGCGTGCATGTTGCGGAACCTCCCGCCTTGTCAAAGTCGAAAGCGGCGCGGGTTGAGAGTGTCAGAATGTTGTATTTGTCTAGCCTGCAGTGGGGTACTCTATAGCGAGTACAGCCCAATCTAGGGTTCCTATATGTACTCAACTGCTTGCTAGTGCAACTCCTCTTTCTGCCTCTAAACTTTCTACTACCTATCTTGACATGCTATCAGAGCAGGTCGACCCTCCTGGGTCGATCCTGTGGGTGGGCCCACCACCTAATGCTTCCGCTGCTGTACTTCCTGCCGGGCGCCTCGGGCGCGCGACGACTTCTTCCTGCCGCGCGCGGAGCGCGCGGCGAATTTTTTCTAGGGTTTCGGCGGTTTTCATCCCGCCGTGCGCTCGGGGCGCGCGGCGGTTTTCTGCACGCCGTGCGCCCCGAGGCGCGCGGCGGTTTCCCACCGTCGAAGCGCCCTCCCCCCGTCGCCGTCGACCCCCCGCGTCGCCCCGCAGCCCCGCGCGTCGCCCCCGACGTCTCGTCGCGACACCTTGGGGAGCCGCGCGCGGCCCCCCGCTACCTCGTCGCGACGCCGTGGGGAGCTGCGCGCGGCCCCCGCTGCCTCGTCGCGACGCCTTAGGGAGCCGCGCGCGGCCCCCCGCTGCCCCGTCGAGGCGCCCTGGGGAGCCGCGCGCGGCCCCCGCTGCCCAGAGGTGGCGCCCTGGGGGTCGCGCGCCTTCCCCCTCGCCGTCCCCCGCGCTCCTTCTCCCTTTCGCCCGTTTTAGGGTTTGGGGGTGGGGAGTGTGGGGGTGGCGGCTGTGGGGGTGCAGGTTGAGTGCCCCGTCCCCTACTCCTCCTCCTCCTCCGTCTCCCGCTGCTGCAGCTGCCGCTCAGGGGGGTGGGTGTGTGGGAGCCGAAGGAGTGGTGCTAGGGGGGTGACGTGGGAGTGGAGCTAGGGTTCCAGCAGGGGGTGTGTGAGAGGGGGGTGGGACAGTCGGGGGAGGTTGAGCGGAGGCTGCCGTCTTGTCGTCAGCAGCACCTGTAGTCCGGGGCGCTTGTTCCGGTAGCCCAGTCGTAGCCAGCTGCGCCAGTCGCCCGTGGGTCCGTTGCTCGTCTGCCGCTCTTCTTAGCCGCGGAGCCAGTTACTCCTGTAGTCCGGGGCGCTTGTTCCGGTAGCCACTGAGCCAGTTTGACTCCTGTTGCCCGTGTGTCTGCAGCTTCAGCCGACGCCTCTTATCTCCTCTCCACCTACAGTCTCGCCTCCTCCTCCTCACTTGCCCTTTGTGAATGCCTCTAGCTTTGCATGCACTTGTGAATCTGCTCTATGACTGCTTGCTCTGCTGATTATACCCCACTTTGACTATGGGGGTGTGTCAGAATGTTGTATTTGTCTAGCCTGCAGTGGGGTACTCTATAGCGAGTACAGCCCAATCTAGGGTTCCTATATGTACTCAACTGCTTGCTAGTGCAACTCCTCTTTCTGCCTCTAAACTTTCTACTACCTATCTTGACAGAGAGGCCCGCGCTGTTTGTCCGCGAGTGCCGTCTCTTGATTCCCCCGTGGCCCCCTCTTAGGCTCTCGGTAAGGGCTTTTGGTGCTCATTTTCGTTCTCCTCATTTTCGTTCTCCTCCTTCACAACCTGTTTTCTTCCTGCTCGCCCGTTCCACGTAGCGGTCTTTCAAAGCCTAGTGCAAGTAGAGACTCTGACTGACCGCGATCGCGCGTGCTCGCGTGCATCTTGGTCTTTTTTAAACGCGAGCATCGTTTAGCGGACCGTAAATCCTAGATCCCCCGTACCTGTGGTCGCGCTCTTGAGGTGGTACCGGTGATGAATCGCGAAATGAAGGCACTTAGAGCTGGGTCGATGGCGGCCGCCTCCTGTCCGGCCAACATCTCTGTTGCGGGAGCCACGGTGGACCTCCCCCCCGATCAGTGGAAGCTGCTCGCTGATGACAAGCATCCGTTCACGGCCCGTCTGTTCGACTTCGTCGCTTGGTGAGATCCATGCATCCCAATCCCTGATTCCACTGTGCACGCGTTGTTGGTGGTCGCGTGGTATAGCATGATTGCGACATGTCCGCAGTATGCACTAGTGGACTGTGCAAGGCGTGTCGTATTCCCGCGGTGCTTTTATGTAGCCTTGTTTGTGTCCGTGATTTCCCCCGCTGTGTTTTACCTCTTCCCGCACAGCGTGATTGTCCGGAGGTTTTTGGAGAAAGAGGTGCAGGAGCACGTCAGGGTCGTGACGAGCGATGTGGTCGCGGACATTGTCGCGGGTCGCGATGAGGCTGTCAAGGCCTTTGCCGGTATGATGGAGTGCAGCCTTGTTGCATTCTGCATCTGGACCGAGTGAGTGTTTATTTTGGAGTGTTCACTGGTATTCTTTCTCGCACTCGATTACGTGGGTTTACGCGGTCGTTAATGTAACGTGCAGGGACTTGGTGGACAACAACTGCTCGAACGCGAGCATGCTCCTTATGCTCCACCCAGATCACCTGTCGATTGACGGTGACGAGAATTGGCACACGCGTTTCGTTCGCGTTGCTATTCCACCTGGTGGGCGGAAACACGTGACCGCGGCGGAGGCAATTGTGGAGTGAGTACCGCGTACAAGTGTACCATCTTTACCACGTTCAATACCGTTACATGGCTCCCGTCGCTAACCGTGCGTTCGCGTTGCTATGTTTGTGCGTATGGGCAGGTGGTTTCAGGGTCGCGTGGACGAGGAGTTTGCTCGCGGCTCCATTCAGTGCACCCGGGCGCGCCAGCTTCAGGATCCCAATCGGCTGTACGATATGGTAAGTCTGTGTTGTTTACGTGTCCTCGTTGGCCGCGAGTAGTTGCAACCGTGCTAACAAAACCCACGTTCTGATTCCCAGGACGCGACGTCGTTGAAGGGCTCCTGCGGCAACATCGCTTGTCTGTTCGCGTTAGACAAGACCCTTGCTCAGTTGGACGCGGTTGCTGCCAATGGATCCGGGCCGCAATTCTCGAGGCCTACCGCGAAGACTCTGAATGCACTGCGGCATGACGCCCACCAAACCGCCGAAGAGCTCGCGTTCAACTTGAGCGTGGATTTGCCGCGACACAAGCACGGCGGTGAGGCTGAGGGGGCTGAATTGGGGAAGATGCATGAAGTGACAACGGGTGCGCGGGTTGCTGACCATGGTGTACTCGCTCTCACAGGTGCCGCTGGTGTTTCGAGCCGCGGAGGTGCTCGCGGCGGGATGGCGGTCCACGCTGATGACGATGGGGCAGACGATACCGCGACTAAGGGTGCACCCCGCGATGACGCTGACCGCACTGTAGCGCGTGAGGGGGAAGAGTCAAGCGAGGAGGAGGCGGAGGCACACGTGGTCGCGGCCGCGGCAGCCAACAGGCCCGCTACATCCGGCAAGAGCATCAAGCACCTCGCGCAGCACTTGGCCCCCGGTGCTGGAAGCGCGGCCCCGAGTGGTGAGGTCGCGGGCAAGAGTCCCGTGACATGTGCGCGTGATCACGCGTCCCTTTCCGCGTTGCCCTCGCATAGGCTTGCTGCCGAGATCCTGCAGCTTGACTGCAGGCTTGCAGCGCAGGCGGAAGAGATCGCACGGCTGAAGATACGCCAGGAGTCGGGGGTTGGAGGAGTCGCGGTCGTGGGCTCCGACGAGCTCGCGGCCGCGCTGTCTAATGCGGTTCGGTTGCTCGAGAGGGAGGCGAGGGCGCTCGCGCAGGAAAGGGCGGCCCTGCTGGACACGCGTAACCAGGAGGCGTTGGTGCTGGGGCGAGTGGACGCGAGGTTGGGCCAGCTGCAGGGGGTGGTGGCGGACTCCATGGAAACCGCGCAGAAGAAGTTGACGGACGAGGTTGCGCGGAAGATCGACAACATGTCGTCCGCGGTCTCAGCGACAGCAGAGCGGGCAATCACAACCAGCGGGGTCACGAACGCGCTGCACACCCTCATCGCGCTCGTCGGAGGGAGCCCGACTCCGCGCACCGGTACGGAAGATCCGGCCGCGACGGAGAATGCCGATGCCGGGGATGCTGAGCATGGTAAGCGGGCGGCGGGTGCGAAGGCCGAGATGTCAGAATAACTGAACGAGGAATGAATGAACTAGCTCAGAGTTTGGTACAAGTAGGAAACCCTAACTTTGTGTACCCCCTAAGGTGTAACCCACTACAGCCTACACAATATAAACATACAATGTTTGACACACCCCCATAGGCGCAGTGGGAGACAACCACAGGGTCATGAGACCAGTCAAAGCAAAGCAAAGCAAGCTCAGGGTGGATCTCAAGGATACCACACAAATTCTGAGCACAAGCAAGTGGTCACAAGACCAGTTCACATGCAGTTTCATAATATAGCAAGAGATACAATGATCACAACCTAGCAGGTGTAAACATGCAGGTATATATATATATAAGATCACAGTACAAGCAGAGTCAAGAAGTAAGCAAGTGAGGTCCAGCAGGCACAAGGCCTAGAAGAGTACAGAAACGCTGATGGTCACAAGGTTGAAGCGCCTTGGTGAACACATCAGCAAGGTTGGCCTCAGTGGCCACGTAACGCAGACAAAGCTGACCACGCTGCTGCAGCTCTCGAGCAAGGAAGTACCGCAGGGCGATGTGCTTCGTTCTGTGCTCCAGTCTGTGCTCCTCACACAAGGCAATGGCAGCCTGGTTGTCGACGTACAGCACTGGAGGAGAACGAGGCCGCTCTCCCAAGTCGGTCAGCAGGTAGGTCAGCCAGCGTAGCTCCTGGGCAGCCATGGCTGTGGCGTAGATCTCAGCCTCACAACTGGAGCTGAGAACAGAAGAAGAGCGTGTAGAACGCCAAGAAACTGAGCCGGAGCCAAGGCTGAAGGTGTAACCCTGAGACGACCGCTGAGTAGCCTGGTCGTCCGCCCAAGAAGCGTCTGAGTGTCCAGTAAGTACAACTCGGTCTCGCCCTCCAAGCACTAGCCCCATGCCCGACGTACTGCACAAGTAGCGCAACACCCTCTTAGCGGCATCCATGTGCTCCTTCCTGTGACGGCCAGGAGCGACATAGCGTGCAAGGATGCTAAGAGGGTATGCAAGGTCAGGTCGAGTGCAGGTCATCAGGTACATGAGGCAGCCCACAAGCTCTGGATACGGGCCACTCGGCTCTACGGACTCATCCGAATGTAGAGCTGAGAGCGAGTGACCGGTAGGCAGAGGAGTGGACTGAGGCGAGGAGTACGTGAAGCGGAAGCGCTGAAGGATCTGCTGCACCATGTGTGACTGAGTCAAGGTGATGGTGCGCCGTGCTCTGTCCCGAGTGATCCGCAAGCCAAGATAGCTTGTCAGTTCACCCAGGTCTGTGCACGTGTGTCTCCTCTGCAGCTCCGACTTCACGTGGGCGAGTGCCGCGGTGTCAGCAGTGGCAAAGACCAAGTCGTCGACGTACACGAGGATGTAGAACGGCGGCAGCGAGGTGTCTGTGCGTAGAAACAGTGACGGGTCAGCAGTGGAGGGAGCGAACCCAAGAGCCGCAAGTGTCGTCCTCAGTGTGTCGTGCCACTCACGCGGTGCCTGGCGGAGACCGTAGACCGGCCGCTGAAGCCTCCACTGGGTACCAGGAGGAACCGACCCAGTGAAGCCAGGAGGGCGGCGCAGCCAAATCTCCTCGTGCAGGCTGCCCTGCAAGAAAGCAGTGCTGAAGTCAAGTGAGTGAAGCTCGTAGTCGCGCTGAGCGGCTATGTGCAGCAGCACCCGAAGAGTGGTCATCTTCGGGGTGGGGGAGAAGGTCTGAAAGAAGTCAACTCCCTCTCGCTGACTGAAGCCTCGAGCCACGTAGTGCGCCTTGAAGACCGGAGGAGAACCAGGTGGCCGCTTCACCCTGAAAATCCACATGCCACTGACGATGTTCGCCCCAGGTGGGGGAACCTCGTCGACGTAGGTGCGTGTGGACTTCCAGGAAGCCATCTCTGTGTCCATGGCTGTCTGCCACTGAGAGGAGTAGGGACCCGCCATCGCCTCAGCGTAGGTGCGCGGGGTCGGGATGTCTGGTGCATTCGGGTCTCCCTCAGGGGCAACTAGCATGGACACGAGGTGGGGCAAAGCAGCAGCAAAGCACTGGAACTCCTCCTGTCTGTCCTCAAGGACGTCCGTGCCAAAAGCACACTCACCCCCGACGGACGGAGGACAGACAGACTCAGACTCAGACTCAGCAACAAGGCTAGTGGCGTAGTCTAGACGACACCGGGCAGCAAAGTCTATCAACTCAGCGACCAGAGCAGACGCAGCAGAAGACTCAAAGGTAGGGTCAGTGACAACAGTAGCGAGGAGGCGCGTGACAGTGGGACTGGCAGCACGACGAGAGTCAGACTCCGGATCAGGAAGAGTAGGCAGAGAGGACGCAGGAGGAGACGGCAGCGGAACACGCTGAGGAGCAGTGGAGGGACGCAGAGTCATGTAGTGAGTGCCAGGGACAGGAGGAGGACGCTCACGTGGGACACGACGACCAGTGCGAGCAGGACGAACAGGCGACGCAGGACGAGACTCAGGCTCACGACGCTCTGTAAGACCTCCTGTGGGACCAGTGTAAGGAGAGGGAGCAGGGAGAGGCGAGGCAGGCGGGAACTGTGACTGCGACTGGACAGGCGGAGGACACGCTACGGAGGGAGGAGGACAAGGAGGAGGAGCCTGACCAAGAACCTGCTGAAGAAGTGGTACGAAGTACGGTCGCGGCCGCGCAACGTCTCCAGAACCAGCAGCGACACCAGCGGCAGGGTCCTCAGCACCAGCAGCAGCTCCACCATCCAGGTCCTCAGCACCAGCAGCAGCTCGACCGCTCGGGTCCTCAGCACCAGCAGCAGCTCCACCGTCCGGGTCCTCAGCTCCAGCAGCAGCTCCAACGCCCGGGTCCGCAGCACCAGCAGCAGCGCCACCGCTCGGGTCCGCAGCACCAGCAGCAGCTCCAACGCCCGGGTCCGCAGCACCAGCAGCAGCGCCACCGCCCGGGTCCTCAGCACCAGCAGCAGCTCCACCGCTCGGGTCCTCAGCACCAGCAGCAGCTCCACCGCGCGGGTCCTCAGCTCCAGCAGCAGCCCCAACGCCCGGGTCCTCAGTACCAGTAGCAGCGCCACCCCCAGGGTCCGCAGCACCAGGAGCACCACTCTGAAGACTGCAGCGCCGCGTGTACCACTCTCGGATCTGCTGAATGGGGGGGAGCTCCTGGGCAGGAGGGGAAGTACTGGTACGAGCTCCAGTAGTACCTCTCCGGAGGCGGCAGTACTGTAGGTACCTCTCCTGCAGCTGCCGGGAGGAGAGGGCTCCTCCAGGTGTAGTACGCTCAGGCTCAGCACCCCCAGACTCAGCACCCCCAGGCTCAGCACCTCCAGGCTCAGCACCCCCAGACTCAGCACCCCCAGGCTCAGCACCCCCAGGCTCCGCACCTCCAGGCTCCGCACCCCCAGGCTCCTCACCCCCAGGCTCCGCACCCCCAGGCTCAGTACCCTCAGACTCCTCACGGTCAGGCTCAGCACCCCCAGCAGGACGAGAGTCAACAGCTACCTCGACAGGCTCAACCGGGTCTACCTGGGACACACCTGAGGGAGCGGCACCCTGAGGGGGAGGCGGTCTGGTACCTCAGCACCTGGAGCGAGGAAGAGAGGCGGGGGGGGGAGCGGGGCAGTGCGGTAGGGGAAGAGGCGGTAGTAGGGGACGGACTCGTCAAAAGTGACGTCCTGAGAGGCCAGGACACGACGCGAGGTGGCGTGGTAGAACTGCCAACCAGGCGCGTCCGGGACAAAGCCAAGGAAGACACAGGGGACAGCGCGACGGGAGAGCTTGTCCGCGGACGTATCGCGAACAAAAGCTCGAGATCCCCAGACCCGAAAACGCGACGCATCGCCAGCCTCTCCCGTCCAACGCAGTGTCGGAGAAGTCTCCGGTAAGGAGACACGGGGCCAGAGGTTGAGCTGATGCGCAGCGTATCGGACTGCAAACGGCCACAGAAAGTGGGGGGCAGCCGCATGAACTAAGGAGGTACGAGCGACCTCCATGACCAAGCCAATGCGGCGCTCAGCAACCCCATTCTGCTGTGGAGAGGCCGGAAGCGTGAACGACTGCTCAATGCCCTCCTGCTGACAGAAGGCCTCCAAGAGGCCAGAGGAAAACTCCCCACCTCTGTCAGAGTGCAGACGGAGGACAGGGAAGTCGGAGCGGAAACGCTCACGGAGCTGGAGACGAGATCTGCGGATCCAAGGGATCAAGACATCAGGGACGTCACCCTTGGTGCGCAAGGGGAAGACCGTGGTGTAGCGCGAGAAGTCGTCAACAACAATCAGGAAGTACCTCTCCTGACCCTGACCACGGACGCGGGCTGGGCCCCACACGTCCATGTGGAGCGTCTGCAAAGGAGCAGTCGTCGGGGGGAAGGAGGAGGAGTGAGGAGCGGCGCGCTGCCGCCCCTCGACACAGGGAAGACAGGGAGGAGCAGGCGAGGGTGGGAGGGGAGGGAGAACCCTGGGAAGACCAGCAACAAGGTCCCGTTTGTGCATGGCCCGAAGGCGCTGCACAGACGGGTGACCAAGGCGGTGGTGCCAGAGGACAGTCTCATGCGCCAGAGAGCGACACGAGCAGGGGGCGGACAGCTGACCTGACGCAGACGCAGACGCGGACGCAGCTACCTGAGGGGACTCAGTGGTCAGTGTGTACAGGTCCGACCCCGGCTGCCGAGTGAAGGTAGCCAGGTGACGGCCCGTCCGAGCACACGTGCAGTGGGTCACGCGCTCGTAAGCAGGGGTGAACTGGTGAACACCCCCGTCCTGGAGCGCACTACCTGCCACCAAGTTCGTAGAGAACGAGGGGAGGTAGAGACCTGACAGTGTGCCTGACGGGACCGCAGGACAAGGAAGGACAGTAGAGGAGGTCGCAACGACCGGACCCCCAGAGGGGTCAGCGAGGGAGACAGCAACTGGCCGAGCAAGAGGCTCAAGGACAGTGCGGTCACGAAAGAAACAGCGAGAAGCACCTGAGTCCAGGGTGAAGGTGTGCAGTGCTGCAGTCGACTCAGTACCAGGGGGGACGGACTCACTAGCACCTAGAGCAGCAGCCTCACCAGGACCTGGGGCAGCAGACTCACTAGCACCTAGAGCGGCGGCCGGACTGGGCAGAATGCCCGGGTCGGGCGGAACACGCAAGTACTGAGCACCCTCTCCACTAGTAAACATCGCATACATGGCAGTGAGAATAGCATCAAAGTCTAAAGCCCAGATATCAACTCCCTTCTTCTCCAGATCAGCCCAGTGGGGCAGGTCAGTGGCATCAGGAAACTGGGCCCGCCACGCGTCAGTAAGGCGCGCGAAACAACGCTGTGTGGGATGCGGCCTCCCACACTGCTGGCCAGTGCGGTCACCAGTGCGAATGACATACGTGCAGGTAAAGCCACGCTGCGCATACCACTCACGGGCGGCCTGAAGCAACGGGGCGGGCTGCTGACTCTGTCCACCGCCAGCGCCTCCACGACCACCACCGCCGCCGCCACCCCGGCCACCTCCACCCCTGCCGCCGCCACGACCACCTCCGCCTCCGCTGCCGCCTCCGCCCCTGCCACCGCTCCCGCCGCTGCTGTCACCACCCCCACTGCCGCCACTAGCCTCTCCAGTCCCACCGCCACCCCCACCGCCACCACTCCCGCCTCCCCCGCCACCACCTCCACCCTTGCCCCCTTTGCCCCTGCGGCGCCCGCTCGGAGCAGACGCAGCCCCGACCTTCTCAGCACCAAGGAGGTCGACAGCAGCAGCAGAGGCGACAGAGGGGAGGAGAGGGGAAGGGGAACACCCCTCAAAGAACGGGGTGCGGGGGTCGCCACGAGAGGTGCCTACAGCGACGATGCTCGCCTCAGCTGCAAGCAATTCCTTCTCGAGGAGGGCAATGGTGAGCTCAGTGGGAGAGCGAGCGAGGAAGTGATCCCTGACTGCGCGCAGAGAGTCAGGGAGGCGGGTGACGATGTGGTAAAGCGTGATCCAGAGCGGGGGGGGGTTGCTGGCAAGGAACTCGTCAGGCATAGCAGCGCGAAAGCGGGCCTATGGGTACCCTTCGCCCGGGGTGATGGCGTTTTTACGGAAATGCGCGGAGCTGGCGGCGAAGCTGAGATTCAATGCCGCTCCCAACTCCTACGAGGCCGCCAAGCTGCTGACGGAATACCGCCAGCGCTGGAGCGTGTGCCTCCAGAGGGCGCAGGCCAACGCCCTCCGCTGCAAAACCAACGAGGCGTTGGCAGCGGATGAGCTGGGCATGCGGGGGCCCTTCGCCCCCCTTAGCGAGGGCCAGCTGTACCAGCCGATAGAGCCCCCGTTCGGCCACTAGGGTCGGACGGAAGGGGGCGGGAGTTTGGGGAGGATAGGTTTTAGTTTGGATGCATGTTTAGGCTTGACTGGTATGCATGTGTTTTGCAGCTACCCATGTACCCCCCCCACCTATTAATACAAGGTCCGTGAGAGAGAGAGAGAGAGAGAGAGAGAGAGAGAGAGAGAGAGAGAGAGAGAGAGAGAGAGAGAGAGAGAGAGAGAGAGAGAGAGAGAGATAGAGAGAGAGAGAGAGAGAGAGAGAGAGAGAGAGAGAGAGAGAGAGAGAGAGAGAGAGAGAGAGAGAGAGACGGGAGAGGAGATCCCTGGCCCTGGCCTAGTACTTAAGCATGGGAGCCTTTCTCCCAAGCTCATTATTCTCATTTTAGTTCAAGTTTCTTCTCTGGTGACAACGGGAGAGGAGATCCCTGGCACTGGCCTAGTACTTAACATGGGAGCCTTTCTCCCAAGCTCATTATTCTCAGTTTAGTTCAAGTTTCTTCTCTGGTGACAACGGCTCGCGCCTCCAGGCTCCATTTCAGCCCGCTCCATCTCATGCTGCAGCACCCACGCACCATCACGACACGCCCGCATCTGTGCGTGATTCATCACGCTCGCCTCCACAGGCACATCCTCAAGAGCCGCAGCAGCAGTGTCGATCATCAGGCCAACGACTTGCACATACGACATCACGTGGCCGAGACGAACAAGAACGTGCCCCTCCACCTCCAGCAGCCGGGGAGCGTCTGCACGGCGGCGAGGTAGCCCACCAACCGTCACTCGAGGAGCCACGCGGATCCCCGAGTGCCGGCGAGCGGCAGACCGCCGAGTGGGAGAGGCAGGAGGAGACGCAGCCCCCGCCACCGTCACCGCTGCGGCTCCCACCGCCTGCTCACGTGGGCCCGGGAGAGCCCCTGACTGCGCCGCTGGAGGCTGCTGGTGTAGCGAGGGAGGAGGCGGGGGCATTCTGTACAGGGGGAGCTCAACTCTACGGCCATCCCCAGCCTCCGCAAACGTCTGATACACAGGGGGCCCGCCCCCCGGAGGTGCACACCATACCCCAGGCGGGAGGCGCAGGGGATGAGGGACCACGGTGGGCTGCCCAACCAGGGACTGCGTGTCGGGGAGTGCATGCGGTGGTAGTTGCTGAAGGGGGAGCTGCTGGTGAAGAGGCTGCTGAGGGAGGAGCTGCTGCGAGGGGATTACTGGGGGAGGGGCAGGTAGAATGGGTACAGCGGCAGGAGGATGTGGTGCCAAGTCGAGTTGGGGATGCAGCTGACTCACGGACGGCACAACTAGGGCATCTGGACGCGCCCGCGAGCGCACCCTCTCATCCAGGCCGTCCAGCACGCGCTCCACGGCGGCAGTCACGGCCGCAGTCGCGGCTGCCGTCACCGCCGCCACAGCCGGAGCAGGCTGTTGAACACGCCAGCGGCAAGGAGCACGGCGGGAACGTGACTGTCCGCTGCCGCCTCCCTGATTTCGCGGTTGCGGAGACGGGCGACGAGGCGACGCAGGGCACGGGGAGGCCTGACGGGGGGATTCCTGCCGACGAGGAGATCCCCCTTGCGGGGACCGACGGCGCGGAGACGACGCCTGGGAGCGCGAACCCCGCGCCACGTCAGGCCAGAGCGCAGGAGATGGCGACGGGAGTCGCGACGGCGGATCGCGTCGCACCCCATGAGGCCGCGACGGCGAGCGCTCCCGCCCACGAGTTCGCGAGCCCGCCATTGCCACGCACGGGAGCGGGTCGTCAATGGTGGACTCAGCCCGCGCGCTCCACGATGCGCGCTCCACCCAAACGCTCCAGAGCGACGTCCGGCGACTGTGCCGGTCAGAGGGCGCGGCGCGACGACGCCGAGGCGTGGAGGCTGTGGACGTGGCCGCCGTGGGCGTGGGGAGAACGCGAGGTCTACCCCGCGAGGCGGAGGTGGTAACACAGACTTCAGGCGTGTAACGCGGCGGCTGCTGAGGGAGGCTGAGGAGGGAGGCAACTCCGAGACTGGGAATGACGGGAATGATCGGGGTGACCCCCTTTTTACATTCGATGGGGAGGGGAATTTGGGGTCCTCGACAGAGGACGAGAGCTTGGAAGAGCTGGAGCCCAGATCTGCGAGAAACCAGGCTACCAACAATCGAGCCGGATCTGGAATTTCCCCGCCAAGCAACCAACCAACATTTTCGCCAACAGACCTGGCGAAGCGCAGGGACCTTTTTGACCAAGTTTCCACCTGGGACCTGTCCCACCTGAGCGACAGCCGTCAACCTAGCCTGGCGAGGCACCCACCCAAGGCAATTCGCGAGGCCTTTGCGAAATGCCTCCTTACCCCTCTCCTTGCCCTAGCCTCCAATCCTGACTCGGAACCGGCATGGCGATTGCTGCTGTTCCTTCCGCGCCTAATCCTCCGCGTTCCCAGCACCAAACGTCCAGACTGGCCAGCCTGCAGCGGCCGAATCCTATCATTTGAACGCGGAGAATGGCAGGGACTGTACGAAGCAGCAGCCAAGGCTATTCAGCTCCCCGCCCAACCCAGACACACAGCCGACGAGATTGGTTGCCTGGCCAGAGCTGAAGGTTTGGCCAAGCGGGGGAACCTCAGAAAATCCCTCCAAGCCCTCCAGGCCACTCCTGTGGCCCCCACCACACCTGACACCCTGGCTGCCCTTCAAGCGCGCCACCCTTCTGCCGAACTACTCATCCCAGATTGGGTTACCACCCACGCCACTGACAACCCACCACTCATACCCCTTTGCGACTTCCGCAAAATCGTCGCCAAGTGCCCCAATGGAGTTGGGGCTGGACCTTCAGGCACAACCTTCGAACACCTCCGTGATGCTGCTCTTGGAAACCCCGATGTCTGCCAACACCTCCACGCACTAACTAACACGGCCCTCGCTGGCCAGCTGTGCCCTGAGGCTGCGTCGCTGCTCACATCCTCACGTCTGGTCGCGTTCGCTAAGCCTGGAGGAGGAATCCGCCCCAACGGCGAGTGCCTGCATCGCCTTATCGCGAAATGCGCACTTTACCTGACAAGTGCGGCGGCGCGCGACTTTTTCACACCCTTCCAACTCGGCGTAGCAGTACCGGGGGGGACAGAAGCCGCCATCCATATAATCCGCACGTACCTGGAGGAAAACCCTACCGGGATCGCACTCCAGATGGATATAGCTAACGCCTTCAATGCCATTGAACGAGCAGCCGTCTTCGAAGGCCTGCGATCCACCCCTCTCGCTCCCTTGCTCCCCTTCGTTCGACTCACATACGGCTCCGCCTCAATCCTACAAGTGGACGCGGGCTTCAACGCAGCATCTCCTACAAGCGCGCGTGGAGTCCGCCAGGGCGATCCAATGGGACCGCTACTCTTTGCCGCCGGTATCCAACGCTCCCTTACCTCCACCGCCGCCGCCTTCCCGAACGTCGTCGTCATCGCCTACGCAGACGACATCACTTTCCTTGGCCCCGCGTCTGCCTGCACCTCCGCCTTACAACCACCTCACTGCCGACCTCCTCCCCATCGGCCTTGCCCACAACCCTGCTAAGTGCGCAGCCTGGTCACCAGGCCCTATGAACGACGCCGATCTCCCCACCGGGATACACTTCAATCGCGCCGGACTGCGGGTGCTCGGCAGCCCTGTTGGGACAGCTGATGGCTGCGCCACGCAGCTGCGGGAAAAGCTCGCTGCAGCAAGCGCTCCGCTGCCACTGGTGGGCTGCATGGATCCCCAGCTCTCCTACCTTCTGCTCACCAGATGCATCAGCCGGAGAGCCTCCTTCCTCGCCCGCACCACTCCCCTAGACCACCTGCCCACCGCTGAATGGTCCGCATGGGGTGAACGTCTGCTGCACACCCTCAGAGCCTCGTGCACCAGCGGAGAAAGAACGGATCTGGAACCAGGCCAGCCTCCCCACAACCATAGGAGGCCTAGGACTCACTGACCCAAGCACGGAAGGCTCCTACGCTTACCTGGCGTCGGCCATCACTACGGCCCACCTCCTGCGTTCCCTCGGCTCCAAACTACACCATGAGGTGGCAGAACTTGCGCCCCTGCTAGACGCGGACCCTTCCAACCCTGCCGCACTGCCGCAGCGCCTGGCTGCCGCGGAAGCCAGCCTCCCCCCCTCAACAGCAGCCGTGATGAAGGTCGGGCGAGAGAAGGGCGATGGGTTGAAGCTGCAACATGCGCTGGCGCTCCACGTCCACTCAGCTAAGGCTGTAGCCGGCGTCCGCAGCAGCCGGTCCATGTCCCCAAACCCGCTCATGGGCCACACGCAACGCCTCCTATCCCTCCTCGGACCCGGAGCCGGCGACTGGCTGGCGGCACTGCCCCTGACGAGCTCCCTCCGACTCTGCCCCGCCCACTACTCCCAAGCCATCCTCTTCCGCTTAGGCCTCCCCCACCCAATCCCGCGCCAATGAGACTGTACGAAGGCTGTCAAGATCCTGGACAGCCGGCTGCCAAACCTTCTGCTGCGCTGCGGGACAGGGAAGGGAAGGACGAGCACCCACCATGCCCTTCGGGATGAATGCGCCCGCATAGCTCTAGAAGCTGGTTACACCGTCCATAAGGAAACAGCCATGTATACGCCAGTCGAAAACCTATTCGCGGACTTCTCGATCCGCGATCCCATCACCGGCCGTATACACATATGTGACGTTACCGTCACTGACCCCATCTCCAAATGCGACAAGTATGCACGGAAGGGGACGGGGTGGGCTGCCCGGGTGGCTGCTGACAAGAAGACGGAGAAATATGCAATCAAGAACGATTGGGTGGGGTTTATCCCCATGGCAGTCGAGGCCTACGGCTGTACCTCACCTGGCGTGTTCAAGTTCCTCAAGATGTGCGCTGACCTGGCCGCCAAACTGCGTTTCAACGCCCCACCTACCTCGGCGGAAGCAGCCAAGCTGTTCCACGAGTACAGGCAGCGCTGGAGCATCACCCTGCAGCGCGGGCAGGCTCACGCCATCAATCTGAAGACTCACACGGCCATGGAGGCGGATGCGGCTGGGATTGCTGATGCCATCGAACCCCTAGCTGAAGGTTACCTATATCAAATCCTAGAACCCCCGCTTGGACCCCTTGTGGACCAGGCGGGTGGCGAGTAGGATGCTTGCCTCACCATCAACCTTGCATGCTTGTATGCATAGTGTTAATTAATACAATACAAGGACCATTCGAGAGAGAGAGAGAGAGAGAGAGAGAGAGAGAGAGAGAGAGAGAGAGAGAGAGAGAGAGAGAGAGAGAGAGAGAGAGAGAGAGAGAGAGAGAGAGAGAGAGAGAGAGTGTGTTGTTTAAAGAGCCACTGAGATGCTAGGCTTTAAGCAAAGGAAAACGCTGCCTTATTTCTGTAAGAGACCAGTTCTGGTTCGAGTTGAACCATTCGAAACCTTCAAATCAAACCAAGTAAGGCACATCCAACTCCAGCTTCAGCTCGAGCAGTACGGGTTTCCTAGAGAAGCAATTCAAGGGCTGCAAAAGTTCATCTCGTTCCGCTTGTTTTTTGAGTGGAATTTTTGGCAAACAAAGACTCCTCGTTGGTTCGGATACTTGCTCAATCCCAGACGCCACAGTAGGGAGAATCTCGGTATGGCAACATAGCAGGATAGGCATGGGCAATTGACCCGGACGGGTCGGGTTACCCGACCCGAACCGCCCTTTTGGGCGGGTCGGGTCAATCATGCCGAGCATGTCGACCCGTCCGGGTCGGGTCGGGTATACCCGGACGGGTCGGGTCGACCCATGACCCGTCTAAGTGATTTTTAGACGGGTAATGGCGACCCGCCGGGCCGGGTTGACCCGTCCCGCCCGGGCCGCGTAGCACGTCAAATGTTAGGGTAACCCGACCCGTGACTTGAGTAGTGTACAATTTGTAATGGGGAGAACGTCACTTGGTTTCTTTTGTTTTGTTTCCCCCTCGACATTCAGATCTAGTCTCCAAGCCTCTTAGAACCTTGAACTCAATGTTCACACTATTAAGTACTTATAAGTCAGGTTAGGTATAGGCGCTCCCGCCATTTCACAGCGTCGCACGTCCAGGAACGCAGCATCGCGCTCGCCGTCACGCATTGGCGGGATCGCGACCACGAAATAGCGCGATCGCGGCCCCGCATTTGCGCAGCGCGATCGCAGCCCTGCATACGCGCGATCGCGGCCCCGCCTACGCGCGATCGCGGCCCCGCATACGCGCGCTCGCGTCGCCGCTTTAGTGCAGGTCAGGGGCGGGCACGCATTGGCGGGATCGCGGGCGCCACCTTCCGCGGCGCTCAAACTTAACACCCATACCCTGCTGCTCTGTAGCAAGTTTAGACCCGACCCGACCCGTGATGTAACCGACCCGGGAACGGGTCACAAATACCCGTGCCTACGGGGCGGGTCGGGTCATCAAAACAGAGTCAAACCCGACCCGCCGACCCGACCCGTCCCGACCCATTTTGGTAACGGGTCGCCCTAGACGGGACGGGTCGGGCCGGGTCGGGTCATTTGCCCATGCCTATAGCAGGATGGCAAGTTGGTATGGTAAACAGTAACTCACAGATTTTGCAGGTGGACCAGATTGGTCCAGCTATTGGGAAGGTAGCCTTCCAGGTTGTTTCCGTAAAGGATGCTGAAGAGTGTGAGAGCAGGCAACAGACGGACGCTTGAGTATCAACTGGTGGGATGAGAAACTAGGGCAGAAATTATGAGTGATTTTCTTGAGACAGTGTTGCGGCAACAGAGACGGTCTGAGT